TGAATACAAACCTAGCCAGAGGCTTCATTGAGCTGTCTAAATGCCAGGTGGGGGCCCCAGTTTTATTCAAGGAAAAAAAAATGGGTTGCTGAGTCTCTGAGTGGATTATAAGGGGTTAAGTGCTATGAGTGTGGAGAATAAGTACCCCCTCCCACTCCTGAAGGACCTACTAAACTAACCCATCTAGCACAGGGTTGCATCTTCACCAAGTTAGATCTAAGAGAAGTGTACTAAGTAAGGATAAAAGAAGAAGATGAATGGAAAATTACTTTTAACTGTCGTATGGGCAGCTATCAATTCAAAGTTATGCCATTTGGACTTCAAGGAGCTTCAGCTGTTTTCATGCAGCTGATTAACCAGGTGCTGCATGACCATCTATACAAAGGGGTTTTGGTGTATCTTGATGACATCTTAATCTATAGCAAGAATATGACTGACCATGTGAATTTAGTGCAAGAGGTACTAAAGAGACTACTAGATGCCAAACTATATGTTAAATTATCAAAGTGTGAATTCCACCAAACCTGACTAGGTTATTTGGGCTACCGGAACTTCAGTGAGGGCATAGAAATGGACCCTGGCAAAGTGAAAGCCATAATTAAATGGCAACCCCCAACGACTCGAAAGCAGCTTCAAAGCTTTCTGGGATTTGCAAACTTCTATCATCAATTCATTCTTTCCATTTCTGAAATTGCTTTACTTCTAATAGATGTATTAAATACAGGTAAAGATGGGGGAAAGCCATGACCAGGCCAACCGCTAACATGGACTATGAGCTGTCAAATCACTTTTGAGAATTTAAAAAGACTTTTGCGGCCAAGCAGAGCTTAAAGCACCCCTGTCCGGGGGAACCATTTGTGATTCAAGGTGATGCTAAGCGATGTTGCAGTCGGAGCAGTACTTTTGCAAAAGAATAATACAGGGGTCTTAAAACCCTGCATCTACACATCAAAAATAATTCACTGATTGTGAGAAGAGGTGGGTAGTTTGGGAGAAAGAAGCTTTTGCAATTTGTTGGGCTCTGTTAACCTGGTGGCACTACCTGGAAGGGAGCAAGGTGCCTTTTGAAGTATGGACTGATCACAAAAACCTAGACTCCTTGCAAACTTTCCCCCAAACAAATATGATGGGTGCACTACTTCAATTGATTTAACTTCACTCTAAAGTACATACTGGGGGGGGGGGAGAACTTTTTGGTTGATGCTTTGTCCAGATTGCCTCAGTATAAAAGCCAGTGTGAGCAAGTCAATGATTTGATCATGCCTACAGCACAGATCGTTTCTCAATTAACACCGCAGAAAATCCTTGAAGTTCTTTTACTGGTTTCATCTATTGGAACCATGACATTCCTCCCTTCTACATCTGAACTCTAAAGAAAAGGAAAGGCGTGCTAAAAGCAAAAGTAAAAATGGCTGCTGATTCTCAGTTGTCAGAGTAACAACATCCATTGTCACAGCGTTAACACTAAATTCTGAAGGGAATTTAAAATCTAAACAAGAGATGGAAAATCAGGGTATTGATCTATCATGGTGGGCATATTTACAAATGCAAGTGAGATACAATAAATATGTTAAATTGTATGGATTTTATAAAGAGCAAACCTTGTTTGATCAGATATTATTAACCTCTGATAAGAAATTAATTAAGAATTATGTATAACTTTTTATTGAGTTTGAAAATGGAAAATGAACAAGTAAAAGAAACAATGATAACATGGGCAAAGAATTTTGGCTACAATATAGATTTAGAGAAATGGCAAAACCTGTGGGAAAGAAATTATAAATTGACAATGTCAACTTCTTACAAAAAAAACTTACATAAAATGTTTTATAGATGGCACTTGCCACCAGCAAGATTAGAAAAAATGTTTATATATGTCAGATAGATGTTGGAAATGTAAACACAAGTCAGGTACTTATTATCATGTATAGTGGACATGTGTTAAACCAAAGAGATACTGGAAAAAATACATACTTGGCTAGAAAAGATGTTGGGAAAACACGTAGATTTTAAACTTGAACTTTTATTACGTATAATGCCAGAAAAGCTTGACAAACAAAGTATATACTTGATTTTACATGTGATAACAGTGGCAAGAATCATATTCTTATTGGAAAAATGAAGAAATACCACCAGAGGAAGAAATAATAAAAAAAATACTAGACTGCAGAAATGGACAGACTCACTCTGAGGTTGAAAGGAAAAGGAAAAACAGAATATTTTCAAACTTGGGACTTATTTTATCAATGGCTGGAGAAAAGAATAAGGGATTAGGAATTTAATTTGTATTAGTGAATGATGAACTCAGACAACATATTTGTTAAAGTACTTTTGAATTGTATGAAAAAATCAATTAAAACTTTAAAAAAAGAATGGTGTTTAATACAAAAATTAATAACTAATAAATCAGTCATTAATAAAAGAATGATTGAGTTGTGAATAACAAAACAGGAATATGAAGAAATAATAAACTGAGTTGGATGGAGTTGATGAAAGCCTCAAAACAAGGAAAGTTTTAAAAAGCATTTTAGATTTAAATTCTTTCTTTCCTTTAGGAAGAAATAGGTTGGACAGAAACAGAGTGATTGGCTTGAAGTTACTAATAAACTTTCATAGTTATTACTGTATTTGAACATGAGCTTCCCCAAGTACCAATCAAGAGTTAATGCAGATATGAGAAGCTTATTTATTAATAATCACATATCAAACTGATATTCAGAATAAATAGCTTGTTTTTTTTATTTCAAGCATAATAATTGACTCATGGCTATACATGAGCTTAATGACTGGGGTTGGACTTGAACCTTGATTCTCCTGATCTTAAGCTGATATTTTAACCTTGTGCAAATGGAATCCAAGTTGTTTAAGCCAGTTCTGCATGGTTACATTATTTCATTGCCTCATCTTATACAGTAGTAAATAATAAAGTATTCTTAGTTAGAAAGAAGCACAACAGGTTGGTAACAAACTACATGATGCTATAATTTATGAAAACACATGATTGTTATTAGAAGGACCAGAATGTGTTTCTAATTAAATAGTTATTAAAATAACATAGTTTCTTGGTAATATGTTCCAGAAAGTTGGGACATAAGTAAAGTTTCCTTGTTGAGCTAAATACCATGTATGGCAGAGAAGCTTTGCTTGTACCAGCAGTTTGCTTTATTTGGTAGACTTCTGAACAAAATATTATGGATTAGAGATGTAGAAGCCATTTACATACATAGAACCCATAAGCTATAAATACTTTCCATCCCTCATAAAATTATGCCATGAAACTGCACTTGTTTTGCCTAAAGGCATATCCAGACCATTTATTATGGGTGTTTGCATGTATGCATGTGTTCTTATGCTAATATACATGTAATAATCAAATCTTGCTGAATGGGTAGAGTACAAACAGCTGCATTTGACAAGCTGATGAAGATATAGGGCTTAAAAACTGTACAAGTTTGACAGGCCTGATATGAGACTAGTCGGATTGTGTGATATAGGTCATGGCATGTAGATCATGGTTGGGACTGAAAAATCTATGATCTGTTCAGCTTTTATTTGACACTTCAGAGTTATACTTCAAAGTGCTTATACTTGTTAAGAACATATGTGTGATTAATTTCAGCAGCCTTCTTTTAAGATAATAGTTTTTTCTTAAAAAAGTTCAGACATCAAACACAATTCCTGAATGTTCTATATTTATAAAAACATTGTTTCTTCCAACACAGGATTTCATTTGAAAGCACAGTCTCTGGTTTTGCAAAATGAAACTGTTTGAATGCTTATAGTAAAAAATTACTCTTATTTGCATGTTTAAAGTACATAACATCTTGGTTGATCATATAACACCACATTAATAAGATAATATATTGGACATGAATATATTCAGATATACTATCAATTGTGATAACTAAGCTGTTTTAACAACTGGAGAAGTCTATAATCAGGAATTAAATATAATCTCTAAGCAAAGTGATTTCTTTTACATGTAGGAATTTTTTAAAAATCTGGGTATATTTAGCCTAAAGAAGCAAAGGCTTAGGAGAAACATGACAGTAGTTTTTAAATACTTGAAGAGCTGTCAAAAGAAGTTGTATATTCATTCCTTGTAGTACTTAAGATAACACAAACTTCAGTGGGTTGGCTGAAAAGAAAGTGATCGAGATTGAACTTTTCTGACTATTAGAGCTATTAAGCTATGGAACAGCCTGCCTCTTGAAGTTATGGCTGCTCAATCAGCCATTTATCTGGGCTAATCTGAGAATTCTGCCCAGGCATGGAATTATATTAGAAGACTTCAAAGTCCTTTCTAGGTCCATGATGATTCTACAATCCTTGTCTTTTATTATTTTTGCTGCTTTTAATATGTAAATAGAATGAAGAAAAATAATACCCAGATACAAAAAAGAAAGAAAAAATAATTAAAAAGCTGAATATTTTTCAACCTTCCCAGTTTTAAAATTTAAGACAGCAATGCACTGTTTCTTTTCTTACCCTTCTATGAATTTGATCACCAGGAGAAATCTTTATGCAGAACTAACTCTTAATGCCTCTCCTCATGCACACTGCCAAATTCTTCTGGAAATCTTCTGGAGTAGATTTGAGGCATCATGTTGGGGACAGTCAAAAATGTATCTGTCAAACCTTTTACTTTTGTGATCATCTCATTCCAGAAAGGAACAGCTGATAATGAAACAGTTTCACCATCACTTTTTGAAATGAGAAAAGTTAGCCTCGGTGTCACTTCACAGTGTGATAAAGAACCCAAATTTAAAATGTACAAATGAAAGGGAAAAAAGCATGCATATATAATCACTTTATCAACATAATTATCTACAATAATTAGTTGATAAATGTTAAGGTTTATTAGAGTGCTGCTGTGGGTTACTTTTAAAAATGCTTACAGACCAAAGCATTATTATAATAATTCTTCCGAATGTATTGGTTTTCTCTCTGTTATAACTGTCAAGATCTCTATAATGTATTTTCTTTAAGAAAGTACTTACATTAGGTCTTAGCTCAGCTGCCATTTTGTAATATTTTTCAGCTGCTTCATTGAGACTAGCTTGTCTGTTGAGAGAAGAAAAAATCAGCAAGTTCAATGAAATTCAATCTGGTACTGGAAAGTGAAAAATTAATTGAATCAATGGCATTAATAGTTAAAATACATTTTCAGCTACTGATTATGATGTGAATGATTAACTTTAAATGCAGTTTTTTAAATAATGAAATTGATATAATTATAAAGTTAGCAATAGTATCAACAAACATTTTAATCTATATAAACAATTATAAATTAGTTTGTAAACAATTTTAATTCATGTCTTAGCTTTTAAAATTGGAATTTAAACCCCACTATAATACTAATTATTAAAGTTAAAAATGCAGTTCTAAATTTTGGATACAGCAAACTACAGTAGTTTAATATATCTAAACAAGCAATGAAGCAAAGGGATAGAAATGTTTCCAGGGGTTATGCTTGCTTTAGGAGCATTATCATTTATTTGTAAAGAGCCATTGAATTGGTTGACACCATAATTCTTTACAGCTGAATATTTTAGCCTATGCATCTGTGGCAACTGTGTGCAAACAAGTCAATGCAGAAAGCACTGTGTTCACTTTAGAAAGAAAAGCACACACACAAAAAATGAGCCTGAGGAAGGAATGCTTGTCGATGCTCTTGAACAGATACAAAAAGTATCTATTTTGGGTTACTTTCCAGCTTTCACACATTAAAAAAGCAAGCTCAAGAGATTGAGTTGAATAAGTAATTCAGAGATGATATGATCACCCACAAAAAAATGGCCACCTGTTCTTGCTGATGGTTAACATTCATTTTGCTTGGTTGCAATGTCTACTTGTTTTGCACTGCGTTCGCTTAATTCAACACAGTGAAGCAATCAATTCATGATGCAATGAAGGGCTGGTTGCAGAACCTGATGCTGATTAGACTTAAAGCAGCAACCTGTACAAAATCTCCCAACTGGTTTCTGTGCATAAGGAAGGACTAAAACTTAGCACCTGAATCACTATACCACCCAAAGTTGTGATACCAATCATTGGTTCTAAGATTGAGAGTTGGCCTCAAATCTCTCCTATACTTGTTTTCTTCATTTGCTGTATTCATTTATCAGGAAAAAACCCTGCTGATTTTAAAATATAAGGTGAATGGAATGTAGTAGCAATCACTTTCTGTGCTATGTAAGCATTAGACTCTGTACAGCCTCAATAAAAATGGCAAAGGAAATAATGGCAAAATTGGCACAGGATTCCAGTGTGAATTGTCTTCATTAATCAGACCTAGCCATAATTTTAAAAAGCAGGATGTACACAATATATACAAGCATGAAGCTGAGAAATGCCATGTGATCTTCTGTTTTCATTCTGGAAAAACTGTATGCATATTAATGTTAATTCTATGCAGTAAAATATTGATGGTGATACTGAAGACAATGAAATAAAAAGACCTAAGCATATGAGCCGCATTGAACACAACATCAAACTCTGTATTATCCAACTCAGCTGCTTTCTTGGCCATCTCTGCTGCTTCCATCAACCGAGATTCTTCTAACAGAAACTGGCCTGAAAAACAGATATTAATAATTACAGCATACATTACACTTTAACATTGACAGAGCTACATGTATATAATATTACTCTATGAATGATATTATTTATGGATAATATTATCCATAAATAAAAAGACTCTTTTTTGCTGATTCTTTCTTCCCCCTTTCCAGTTGTCAAATATGCTCCAAAAAAAAAAGGAACAGCATAGGATACTGCAAAAACAAGAGTAAATTTGGGGTTAAAAAACAACCTTATTCTAAATTCTATTCAGGGAAGCCTCTGCGGAAGCAAAGAAACTTCTATTAACAGAACAAAAAAATGCAGTACAATTCTTTAATTTTCAAGTGGTTATAACTTAAATGTAAATTTTAGAACAACTGAACAAAACATACTTGTTGACAAGTTAGAGGGCAGCAATTAATTACTGATTAATTTTAATTTGGTTGTAGTGTTTCTTTTCAAAGCATTACAAAATATGCCAAAATACCCTCAGCACTCTAAGATCATTCTGATCCAGTTATACTTACAATAAGAGAACAATTTGCATTGTGAATTAATAACTGCATGCTATGTTAACCAAAATGAACTAAGAAGAAAATTAAAAACATTAACAAAGAAAAACTCTGCAGGTTCAGCTAGAGAACAACACGCTACATGATCAGTTGTAAATTATATCAAGCGAGTGCATAATTACAGTAATTTAATGCAAATAATCAATTTTATTATAACACAGAAATATTACATGCTTTGCAATTATTAGGAAAATGTATTATTCAAAGGAAATTAACTTGAAGTCTCAGCAGTTGTTAAAATAAAGAGTGTTATTTGGCAGAACATTTTTGTCATAGTTTCTTGTCTGTTGCAGTATACTGAAAAGAATCAAATCTCACAGGTAAATACAAGTTTTAAAAGATATTTCTTGACCTTATCCTACAATACAAAAAGTCATGCCACTTTTTTCAGTAGTGTTGTAACTTTAAACCAGGGGTAGGCAACCCAAAGCACTCAAAGAGCCACTTGGACTCGGTTTCCCACAGGAAAAAAAAAAACACTGGGAGCTGCAAAACCCTTTTGATATCTAAAATGAAGATAACACTGCATATATCCTGATCACCAAGAGAATGCTTTAAGAGAATAAAATTTAATTAATCAACCAAGCTTTCGTCAAAATACATTTGACATCGTCAGGGTTAAAAGACAAGTATAGTTTGCTTCATGTATGGATTGGAGAGGTTTAAAGTGGCTAATGATGCAGCTGTGGTCTGGTTTCTGGTTTGTGGTCGTGCCTCATCATCGGTGTGGCTTTGGGTTTGCTTTTTGCGTGGATGTGTGGTGGTGACATCCTGTGTGGTTTTTGTGAGTGTGGGTCTGGTGTCATTTTTTGTGTTAGGGAGTCGTTTGTCAATAAGGGCAGGTTTCCAAATGGCTGGTAGGCAGGAGGTATCACCTCGCTTGTTCATGCTGTGTGGGCCTTTTTCTATCTCGATGGCTTCTCTGATTATTCTGTTATTAAAATGTTCACTTTTGGTGATAGTTCTGGTATTTTTAAAGTCAATTTCATGTCCTGTGGCTTTAAGGTGTTGGACCAGGGAAGATGTTGGTTCCCCTTTTTTGACTGAGTTCTTATGTTCTTCAATGCGTGCACTTATTCTTCTGTTGGTTTGTCCGATGTATGTGTTGGGACAAGCAGTGCATGGATTTCATATATAGTGTGTATATATATATATATATATATATATATATATATATATAGTATATATATATATATATATATATATATATATATATATATATATATATATATATATATAGTGCTGTATGTTACACCCTGTTGCCCAAATATGGGAGAGAGAAATCTTTTGCCTTGTATCAGCTCAAACTAGAGCCATCCACAGGCAGCAGTCACAACTGTGACATCATATACATTTCTAAAATTTGGATTGCTAGCAAAGAATTAAGGGAGAACTGGAATAGCTATTTCGAACTCTTTAGCTCTTTTCAACCAGACATACAGCATTCTAGCTAACTCCTCCCCTGTTTCTTCCCTCCCTAACACAGCTGGCAAAAGTGAGACAGAGCCTGTGGCCTAGAGGTTAATACAGCTGCCTAACATGCAGACAGCCCAGGTTCGAATCTCAGAAGGGTATGTCTGGTTGAAAAGAGCTAAAGAGTTCGAAATAGCTCTTCCAGTTCTCCCTTAATTCTTTGCTAGCAATCCAAATTTTAGAAATATATATGGTGTCGCAGTTGCGACTGCTGCCTGTGGATGGCTCTAGTTTGAGCTGATGCAAGGCAAAAGATTTCTCTCTCCCATATTTGGGTAACAGGGTGTAGCATACATCATTCTAGATAATTCTCCTCCCCTGTTTCTTCCCTCCCTAACACAGCTGGCAAAAGCTGCCTAACATGCAGACAGCCTGGGTTCGAATCTCAGAAGGGTATGTCTGGTTGAAAAGAACTAAAAAGTTCAAAATAGCTATCCCAGTTCTCCCTTAATTCTTTGCTAGCAATCCAAATTTATATATATAAAGAATATTAAAAACAAAAGAAGATCAAGATCTTACTTTACCAAAGAATTATAGACCTATATCTCTTTTAAATGTAGATTATAAGATTTTTGCAAAAATCTTAGCCAATAGGCTTATGAGGGTTTTCCACCAGCTTATACATAAGGACCAAACGGGCTTTATAACTGGCAGGTATATGAAGAATAACGTTAGACAAATTATTAACTTACTAGAATATCTAGATAAGAATAACCAAGTTTCCGCAGGACTGATATTTTTAGACGCTGAAAAAGCCTTTGACCAATTGAATTGGCAGTTTATGTTAAGATTAATTGAGGATATGAATTTTGGAGAAAAAATTTTACAAGCTCTTGGTGCTATATATCAAAAACAAACGGCACAACTTATAGTTAATGGGGGCTTGTCAGAGGTTTTCACAATAGAAAAAGGACAAGACAGGGATGTCCATTGTCACCACTACTGTTTGTTTTAACTTTGGAAATTCTGCTGATTAAAGTTCGAGAATCCCAGGAAATAAAAGGAATAGAAGTTAATAAAAAAGAATATAAACTAAGAGCTTTTGCAGATGACTTGTTGGTTACCTTGTCTCAACCTACCTATTCTGTAGTAGAGTTGTTACAATTGATTTACCAATATGGACGGGTTTCGGGTTTTAAAATTAATAATAATAAGACTAAAATATTACCCAAAAATATGACTAATTTGGATAAGCAGACTTTGGTTAACTTGACAGATTTTGAAGTTGTTGATAAGATAAAATATTTGGGGTCACTTTATCTGTTTCTAACGCAAAGTTGTATAAAAATAATTATGAAAGGTTGTGGGTCAGGGTACAAAGAGACTTGAAAAATTGGGAGAAGTTGCAATTATCCCTTATGGGAAGAATTGCGGTGATTAAAATGAATGTCCTGCCAAAGTTTCTCTTTTTATTTCAAATGATGCCTATCCTAAAGAATGAGGTTAACTTAAATGAATGGCAGAAAGGTATCAATAAATTTATTTGGGCAGGGAAAAAACCAAGAGTAAAGCTTAAAATTATGCAAGATATTCGTGAGAGAGGTGGACTCAAGGTACCGAATTTGAAATTGTATTATGATGCTGTGGCTTTAACATTACTTGGTGACTGGGTTAATTTAACAAATGTAGAAATACTCCACTTGGAGGGTTGGGATTTACTTTTTGGATGGGATGCCTATTTAATTTTTAATAAAAAAGTTGACCGGGTTTTTAAATCTCATATTATAAGGATTTCTTTACTTCGGGTTTGGAGGAAATATTATAAAAGTGATTTTAAAATACCATTATGGGCTATACCTTGGCATGCGATAGAGGGGGATAAGGAGAGGAGTTAAGATGGATAGTGTTTCTTATGCACAATTACTCAGATGGGATGGTAAAAATTGGCACTTAAAATCTTTGGAAGATTTAGCACATGAAAATATTACATATTCATGGTTTCAGTATAGACAAATAGTGGTTAGATGGAAGATGGATCGTAATATGGGTTTGCTTAGAGAAGATGAAAATCTTTTTAAACAAGTAAAAGATCAAAGACGAACTCATATTAAGAGAATCTATGGGGTGCTAGTAGAACTGGTTTCAGAACCAGAACTAATTAAAGAATGTATGATTAAATGGGCACAAAATTTTGGTGAACCAGTTCTACTAGACATTTGGGAAACCATCTGGGTGAGGAATGTTAAATTTACACAAGCCCAGAACTTAAGGGAGAATTTTTACAAAATGTTTTATAGATGGCACCTTGATCCACAAAAAATGTCTCGTATGTATCCTGACTTACAGCCTAAATGTTGGAGATGTGGTTGTTTGGATGCTACTTATTATCATATTTGGTGGTCGTGTAAAAATATAAAAGCTTTTTGGATTAAGATATGGTGGAATATTCAAAGAATTTTTAGAAGGAGGGTAAAATTTACCCCACAATTGTTTTTGCTGGGTATTGTTACTGATTGTGATGTTAAGGAGGTTATACTGATGTTAAATTTAATCACAGCCACAAGGTTGTTAGTAGGGCAATACTGGAAGAAGGAATCTTTGCCTACCTTGCAAGAATGGTTTTTTAAAGTTTCTTATTTGGCGGAAATGGCAAAGATTTCGGCTTTTTTAAAGGATCAATCGCAAGAGAAGTTTTTTGCGGTATGGGAAAAATGGATAGATTTTATACAACATAAGTTGGATATAAAAAAATATTACTTAGTTTTTCAATAACCTATATATAAATTTTAATTTTATTTTTATCTCATCTTATTTTATTTCTTTTTTATATATATATCTTTTCTTCTTTCTTTTCTCTTTTATTCTCTTTCTTTTTAAGTAATTTTTTTCTCTTTTTTTAATATCTATGTTTTTTTTTACATATATATTATTGTTAATTATCTTATAAGCTTAGGTAATGTATTTAGATATATTAATGGTTTATATTTTTTTAATTTTTTTAAAGATTTTTAGAAATTTTAATCAAGCCTATATTCAGCTCTGGGAAGGTGGGGGGGATGGACTGGGAGGGTTGGGGTGGTTGGGTAGGGTTGTTTTTTGTTTTTTATTTTTTTTCTCCTTATCTGTAAAAACTTTTAAAAATTTTCAATAAAAAACAAAATGGTGATTCCTGGGTAGATTCATGTTAAATAATAAAATATACGAACACCAGGAAGTTATAAAACTATAAAAAGTTTTAATAGAATAAAACAGAATAAAACCAAGCTTTCGCTGGCTTCTGCCAGCATCATCAGGGTAGCGTCCAGTCGATGGGAGAAGCTATTTATAAATGTGGTGTTCTTTGTGCCCAGCTTCTTGACTTCATCATAGGTCCCAGCCAATCCATCTGTGTTTTGATCATAGTTTCTGTATTGCAAGCTGTAATTTCCTCACTCTCCTTGCTTGTGCCGATACCACAGCTCTTCCTCCCTTCTTCGTATGACGTAAGTCGGGGGAACTCTTTAAATCTACATAGTTAAATGTGCACTGTCTGTGTTTATGTTGTTTATTCCCCTCATCCTCCCTCTTAGTATAGTGTGTGTGTGTGTACTCTCTTTTCTTTCTTTCTTTCTCTTTCCTCTTTCTCTCTTTCCTCTCTCTTTCTCGTCTCTCTCTTTTTCTTTCCTCTTTCTCAATTTCCTCTTTCTTTTCTCTCTTTCCTCTTTCTCTCTTTCCTCTAACTTTCTCTCTCTCCCTCTCCTCTCTCTTTCTCTCTCCTTCTCTCTTTCCTCTTTCTCTTTCCTCTCTTTCTCTTTCCTCTTTCTCAGGCAGGGAGGAGGAGCAGGACGGGAGGCAGCAGCTCCAGTGGCGGCGGCGGCTAATGCTGCATTGTCGGGGTTCCCCGCTGCTGCCCCCGGCCTGGCCGCCACCCCATCGTGTCCTCAGCCAAACGGGCGGGGAGGGGGAGCAGGACAGGAGGCAGAGGCTCCAGCGATGGTGGCAGCCACTGCTGCATTGTCAGGAGTCCCTGCCGCCCCCAGCCCGGCTGCCACCCCCAACGGGACTCAGTGCTGCCCGGCCTCGCCCCCCGCCCATCGATGAAGCCACGTTGGAGGCAGCGCCCACCCCAAGCGGCCTGGGGGCAGCAGGAGGAAGGAGAGGAGGGCGAGGAAGCAGCCGCCCCAGCCGGGACTCCGTGCTGCCTGGCCTCGCCCTCTGCTCATCAGATGGAGCCGCAGTGGGGGATGGTGCTGCAACCCCCTGCCAACCCCTCTGCCCCAGTGCCTGCCCAAGTCACCTTGGGGGCAGCAGGAGGAAGAAGGAGAGGAGGAAGAGGAGGGCAAGGAAGTCACCACCAGCGCTGGGCCCCAGGAGGCAGCTCTCCTCTCCTACCTTGGCTGCATCTCCTTCTTCCTTCCCGGCAGCCTGGACTCTGGTGCACCTTCCTGGCCAGCAGGTCCAATGGTCGGGCTGGCTGGGGATTGCAGGGGCTGGTCTCCCTTGGTTTGCAGCTTGTGGGAGGGCTAGCCCGCTCAGCGGAGCCTCCAGCAGGCTGCTCCCAGCAGGGATTCCGGGGCTTCACTGGACGGCTCCACGGCCATGAGGCCCTGGCCACACTTCTCCCAGGGGGTGGGGCACCAGGCACAGGGCCAATCAGGAGCCCTGCAGGAGATAAATCCGCCTGAGAGAGAGAGAAAAGGGAAGCGAAAGTGCCTCTCTGTCTCTCTCTGTGCAAATGGCAGAGGAGCCTCCAGAGCCGCAGGTGATGGCTAAAAGAGCCGCATGCAGCTCTGGAGCCGCGGGTTGCTGACCCATGCTTTAAACAGTCAATAAACAAATGGCTATAAGTAAGGATTATCTCTATAAGCATCTATGAACATATTGAATCATACTAAACAATCTGGGCATTACTGCCAAATGTTTCAAAACTATTATCAAGCTACAGAATCAGATAAAATCAGCAGCAGAAACATGGAAACTAGTGCTCCCTTATCAAAGTAACAACCTCTCATAAGAGGAGCTCTGTAAGAATGTTATTCAGATAAGCACAAACATACTGCAGTAACTTGGAACACTAGAAAAAGGAAATAAGCCACCTATACAATATTTTCCAACAAAATGAATACATACACAGCCTTAGCAAAAAGTGCCTGACCACACAACCCAATGTAGCACAACCAATACAAGCTATAAAAAGGATAATACTGCCATATGCCAAAAACCTATCAGAAATAACCAATAAATTATTACACCCATACAATATTACTGCAGCACATTAACTAATTAAAGTCCTTCAAAACATCCTAAGTCAGGGGTATCAAACTCGCCATGTCACATGACGTTTCGTGACGTATTGCAACTTTTTCCCTCTTGCCAGAGCTGGGGTGGGTGTGGCTTCCACATGACACATCCGGCCTGTGGACAGGCAGTTTGACACCCCTGTTCTAAGTAAACGAAAAGACCCAGTAATTCAAGAATAAAAAAACAGAAGTAATCTACAACATACAGAATAAGGATTATAACAGTCACTATGTAGGACAGACAGGCAGAAGACTATATCTATGAACACCAAGTAACAGTAGGGGAGACATTATGAAAATTTACAACACATGGACAGACTCAACCATAGTTTCAACTGGGAAACTGAAGGCATCCTAGATCAAGCTAAATACCAACCACTATGGAATTCCTGGAAGCTTGACATTCAGACAAATCAGCCATCAACAGACACAGACATAAATCACATTTACATACCATTTAAAGAAAGAATTTTAAAAAATTAAAAAGGAAACAATAACGCCAGAATACATCTTCTCCAGTAGCCTATACTCAGACAAGCAGTGATCAGCCCCAGAATTAACATCAGATAACCAACTGAGCAGTAAATAACATCTTAATCAAGATATTACCAAGGAGAAAACCACACACACACGCACACACGCACACACACACACACACACACACACACACACACACACACAAAAACTGGCCGGGCAAGCAAACTTCACACTCTCTCACACTGATGTTATTATCTGGGTAATGTAACATCTGCATGATCCAATGCAGTTTATCCAGTCTCCCTTGCATACACATATAAATGCACACAAATGTAACAGAGTAGAAACACATTCAGGGCCAACACATATGTACATTCTGTAATTAGCATTTCAAAGACATATATGCATACTCACACAGAGTAACATATATATGCTGATTAAAATTTAGCGACCTAAATTCTAATTGTCTAATTCTAAACATCTTTCCATAATAGTTATGCCAGGGCAAGCCCCCAATGTTCATCCATTTGTCCTTGCAAGCTAATTAATTTTAAAGAGCTTTCAATCATAAATGAAACCTGATAGTTATATACAAAACATTTTTTTTATTTTGTTATTAGTTTTATTCATTTATAACATAAAATGTGAGAATACAAAAGCAAATAGTAGGGGACAACAGTAGAAAAAGGGAAAACAAAAAAAGGTGTGAAGAAAGGGAAGGGAAGAAACAAAAGACATTGACTTCCGACTCTCTGTTGCAGTAAAAACAGACATTAAAATCAAATCTCAACTTTTTACATTTCTATAGTAGTATGCACTAGCCATGTCTGAATCAGCAAATCAGTCTAATCGGTAAAACCCAAAATCATAATATCATTTTTTTTCCACCTCAAGCACAAAGTCCAGAAGCGGTTTCCAAGTAGAAACAAAAGTACTTATGTTCTTTTCTTTTATCAGCACAGTCAATTTGGCCACCTCTGCTAATTCCATCAACTTTTGTAACCATTCATCCATGGTAGGAATCGAGGCAGTTGTATCAGAACTCTTCAGTTAACTTAAAATAAAGTCTTCAATTTATTTCAAGCTCAAAATAAGGTATTTCAAGTTCAAAACATTTCAAATTAAAAACGTAGTTGTATACAAAACAATTTTAATTTGAAGTGTTTTGAACTTGAAATACCTTATTTTGACCTTGAAACAAGCTGAAGATTTTATTTTAACTTAACTGAAGAGATCTGATACTATTATTGTATGTCCTTACTCTAAATGTATGTCCTTACTCTAAAAGTGGTTTCATTTTCAGATTAAGACTCTTCCAGCATTATCAGAATAGTATAAAGAGCATGTGGAGTATGGCTGAAACGATCAATAAATTATACGTTTTACCTTGAAAATATGTTGAAAGCTCAAAACAAGTCTCAAAATGTTCCACACGGCCCTACAGCTATTCACTATACAGTACTTTCAAAAAGATTTCTCTTGGGTTTTATATTGCAGCATACTGGAAAAGTATAAGAGTCCTACAAAACACCTTTCTATACATAATAAAAATTAATTAGTAAAAGTAACCCACTTAAATATCATGCACTTCACAAAGAAAAGTTTATAATTAATATTGCCCACAAATCAATTTTTTTGAGATATCAAAGTCCCATTTATGTGCTTATATGGGTTACTGATGAAGGATGGAAACTGGTATCTCCTTGGGAATTGATGGCTATGCCACTGGCTGTATAGGCCCCAGTGAATTATTCAATAGTAAAGTACCTTTACATCTTCCTTCAAATAATACTCTGCCAGTACTTTAAAATAAAAAAACCCATAATCATTCATAAAGAATTTTGTACAATAAAATAGAATGTAAAGGAAAGCATTTATTAGCAAACTTACCATAATGCATATAACAGTTTCCTTTCATAGGATCCAACTGAATTGCTTTTAAGAAATATTTTTCTGCCTCTCTCTTGCGACCCTTAAGAAAGAAAAATCAAAAATATAATGATAAATGTTTTAATTGAGCTTGTTATAATTAGAAATTTACTAGCTTAAATATGATATAGCAAATGTTAAGGGAAATAGAGAAGGAATTTTTTGATGATGTAACCTGAGACATGTACTAAAGATTTTGTTATTGTACTATTGACTATCCAATTGCCACGCTGCTTTCCAAATACTCAAAATGTAAAACTGGAAAAACCAATAAAAACTTGTTATAAAAAAAAGAAAGAAAGAAAAAGCAAAAACAGATATTTGACACCGGTTACAAATGAGAAACTGAAACATTAATTTTACAGAATTAATGAACTAGCATAGTCCTACTAGAACACAAATCTCACCCTGTTTTCTTCTTTTTAAATAATATACTTTCTATCACTACAATAATATTGATTATTTTTAGGCCAGTGTAATAGGGAAAAACAAAAATGGACAATTTAATATGTTCAAGTATCAAGAACATTTCCTTGATATACAATTTGTAACTAGAACAAGGCCAAAGGGAACTAGATGAAGAACTAGAACTATATTTCACAGCACATCAAGAAATAGGATCGATGTGAGTTTCCCCCCTCCCCCATGGAGTTACAGATCCTTAGATTAAAGAAAGGTGAGAAGTCTGTATCTTCTTTCTCATCAGGACATGTTTGATTCTTCCACGTTAGTGTGTGAGCATTTCCTGGGAATGTGTAGAGCAGAGGTCCCCAACCCCCGGTCTCTGGACCGTACCAGACTGTGGCATGCTAGCAACCAGTCCACACAAACAAGCAAAGCCCCATCTGTGGGATATAGGCAGCACACAAAACCATGCACTCTTCGGTCTATGGAAAAACCTTTCTCCACGGAACCGATCCCTGGTGTCCAAAAAGGTTGGGGACCTCTGGTGTAGAGTAAAAGGGGCATTATCTTACCTGAACACCTTTTCTCAGCATGATGATGGAGAATCCATGAATGGGTTGTCTTAATCTTCCTGCTCCAATAAGACTAAGTCTGAAGTGTAGAACTGCTTCTGCTGTTCTGCACCCCAGTTTAGACGAAGGCGATACTTTAGTCTGACGCGTCTGCTTTCCTAATATCAGAACCAGGGCCAAATGACCCTAATGGGAGGGAGTGGATTCTCCTTCAACATGCTGAGAAAAGGCGTTCAGGTAAGACAACACCCCTTCTCCAGCATGATTGGATGGAGAATCCACGAATAGGACATACCAAAGCCCTGTGTCCCTAAGGAAGGGAAGTAGTTTGGGCCTGGGTCCCATCAGATGCCCATAAGTGTTCTAATACCTTGCGACCAAATGAGGCATCGGAGGAGGCATATTTGTCAATCTTATAGTGACGGACAAAGGATGAGGGTGAGGACCATGTCACTGCTCTACAGATCTCCTCTATGGATGTCTGGGTCAACCAAGCCGCCGAAGTAGCGGCGCCCCGGATGGAATGGGCTGTGATATGTCTAGGAACTTGCAGTGACTAAGTCTGGTATGCAAGAGTGATGCAAGCCCTAATCCATCTCCCTATTGTCAAGGAAGAAACCTTCTGGCCCAAGGATGAAGGCTGAAAGGACACAAATAGTGCCTCAGACCTACGGAAGGGCGAAGTTCTATGTATGTAACATTGTAGGGCTCTGCAAATGTCCAGTGTGTTCCACTGCATCTCTATGTCATTGGATGGGTTAGGACAGAAGTCCGGTAAAATCACCTCCTGGATCTATGGTACAAGGAATTTACCTTGGGCATAAAGGAAGGGTCTAGTCTGAGGGTTACCCTGTCATCATGGAAAACACACAGCTCCTTTCTGACTGAAAGAGTGGCCAGTTCCGAAATTTGCCTGGCCGATGTTATTGCAACAAGGAATGCCACTTTCATAGATAACAGCTTAAGCAAACATGTGGCAATAGGCTCGAAGGGCAATGAAATGAGTATCTGTAAGACCTGGTGAAGATCCCACGAGGGGTATCGATGTACCGTTGATGGCTTGGCATTGGTTGCTCCTTTTAAGAAGGAACGAACCATGGGGTGATGTGCCAGGGGAATGGCATTGTCACATGTAATTACTGTAGCTAGCGCTGCTACCTGTCTACGGATGGTGTTTGGGGATAGCCCTTTGTCCAACCCATCCATCAGAAATTCCAATACAATTGGCATGGAGATAGCTGATAGTTCAACCTTGTGATCTGAGCACCAAGTGCAGAAGCTCCTCCAAGTGGCATCATATATCTTATTCATCAAGGGGCGCCTGGATTGTTGAATCATGGCTATCACCCTCGATGAATATGAGTCTTGGCTTAAGGCCCGCCTCTCAAGTGCCAAACAGTTAGCTGGATCCACTGTGGGTCCGGGTGCTGTAGTTTCCCCTGAGTGAGGGAGATACGCCCTGCTGGGATCCTCCACAGAGGGGAGATGGAGAGCTCCATCAGGTTGGCAAACCACGGACGTCTCAGCCAGTATGGTGCAACTAGGAGGACCTCTGCTCGTTCGTGTAGAGTCTTCATGATCATGGTGGGAAGAAGTGGTAAGGGAGGAAAGGCATAAAGCAGTTCCCTGGGCCAGGGGCTGCGGAGAGCATCTGTTCCTTCCACTGTCGGAGACAGGAACCTGGAAAGGAATCTTGGGAGTTGGATGGGGAGGCAAAAAGGTCTAAGGTTGGGGAACCAAACCTGTCCACGATCTCCCTGAACACTCTCGGGTCCAGTCACCATTCGGCATGGTCCACAGTGGCTCTGCTCAAAGAGTCTGCCTGTTGATTGGTCACTCTGGAGATGTGCTCCGCCCCGATGGAAGCAAGATTCAACTCTGCCCAAGACCCCAACAACTGTGCCTCCTGCATGAGAGGCCTGGACCTGGTCCCCCACTGCCTCTTGACATGGGCCTTGGCAGCAATGTTGTCGGTAAGAACCAGGACATGCTGACCCTGTACTATGCTGCTGAATTTTTCTAGAGCCAGATGTATGGCTCTGAGTTCCAGCCAGTTTATATTGTTTTTCAAATCCCCTTTGGACCACCAATCCTGAGCCCAATGCGACTGGAGATGTGCTCCCCAGCCAAATAGGCTGGCGTCCATGGTGAGGATGATCCTGGCTGGTTCTCTGAATTCTGTGCCCAGTGACAGTGCTGGGGAATCCCACCAACGAAGGGAGTTCCCAACGCCGGCCACGGAACTTGGACCTTCTGGTTGGAAGTACTGATGTGAAGCCTCTGAAATGAAAGAAGCCACTGCAATTCCCAGGCATGAAGACGTGACCATGGAACAATCTGTACGCAGGACACCATCTTCCCCAAGAGCTGTGATAACAAAGCCAATGTGACCACCCTGTCTTTTCAGATCCGATGCACGAGGGCCTGAATGGAGTCCTGCCAGTCCTGTGATAGATAGACCGTACAATTGTTTGTGTCTATAATAGCGCCAAGGTGGAGGAGCTGGGTTGAGGGCATGGTGTGGCTTTTTTGGAAATTGATAGAAAACCTGTGCTCCTGAAATGTTTTGATGGCTAGGGCGAGGTCTGACTGGGCACTCTGGAATGAGGAGGACTGTATTAATATATCGTCCAGATAGCACTGGACTCTGATTGGAGATTGTCTGAGGTGGGTGGCCAGCACGGCCAGTATCTTTGTGAACACTCTAGGTGCTGAAGAGAGGCCAAATGGTAAGGCCCTGTACTGGTAGTGTTGTTGGGCATAACTAAACCTGAGGAATTTGCGATGACCAGGAAGAATAGGGATATGCAAATATGCCTCGGTCAGGTCTATTGATGTAAGGAAGTCCCCTTGTCTGATGCTGGCCAAGATCGAATGTAGTGACTGCATCTTGAACTTCCTATATATCAGATAATAATTTAGATCCTTTAAGTCTAAGATTGCCCTCCAGCCCCCCGAAGACGTGGGAACAACGAAAAGATTTGAGTAGAACCCTCGTCTTTCTTGGTCCTGCGGTACTGGCTCTATGGCCTGTATCTGTAAAAGGTGAGCTATGGCCTCTGACATGAGGGCTGCTCTAGTCTTGTTCATGGGAATAGGGCAAGACCGGAATTGGTCCAGTGGGCTGGACCAAAACTCCAGCATCAGACCCTGAGTAACGGTGTTTAATACCCATGAATCCGTAGTAGTGACCGCCCATGTGTTGGAATAAAGGGACAGCCGGCCTCCTATAGGAGGGGAGTCTGTGAGATCACTTGCCTCGTTTGAAGGACCGTCCTCCCGTGCCTCGAAAAGGCCACTTGGTATGGACCTGTGGTCGATTTCTGTATGTGGAACAGTCCTGCTGTCGCTCCGGTCTCTGGAAGGAGGTGCGAGAGGCCTGGGCCCAGTTCCAGGTGGAAGCTGGCCGAAAGCTGCCTGCGGTAATTGCTTTGTGATGATCCGGCCCCCGAGTGCTTATCTCCCTTTTTTTTTGTTGTATTAATGAGAGTCTTGCACTTGTCCTTACTTTCTACTAGGTAAGGATCGAGGGCCATGCCAAAAAGGTGTTCCCCTGTGTAAGGCTTAGTAGCGAGATGCCACTTGGCCTTGATGTCTGCCCTCCAGTTCTTAAGCCATAGAAGTCTGCGTGCTGAAATGTACGCCGCAATGGCTCATGCGGTGTATCTGGTCGTGTGTAAGGAGGCGTCAGCCATATAATGGGATGTGGCCACCAACTTACCCAGATTTTGGTGAACTCTGATCTGGTCTGGGGGAATCATGTCCTGGAGTTCACACAGCCACAATACTGAGGCCCGAGCGAAGAAGGCCATGGATGTGGAGGCCTTGGTCGCCCAGGCTGATGCCAGATGGGATCTACGTAAGGCAGCCTCAATTTTTTTTTGTCCTCTGCCTTAAGTGCCTCGTTTATGTCCTCTAGGATGCTAGCATTTGAAAACAGGGAATTCAGAGGCTCATCAATTTGAGGGACTTCCAATAAGGAGGCAAAGGAGGGAACCACATTGAATAAGTTTTTTTCTATGGATCCCGGATTGGGAACAGAACCTAAATTATCCCATTGCTTCTG